CTGCAACAATTACTTTTTAAATGATGGATATCAAAGGTTAAGTGGTTGTTTTATTTGAAAGGAGAGTGGAGGTAGTTTGAAAGATGTGACAGTTATAGATAAACATCATAAAAGGTGTATTCCCTCCTGTATTAGGAAAGGTTATCCAACTGTCCAATACAGAGAGAAATGAACTGTACATAATGTGTCACACTGGCCTCATAGGTTTCAATTGCAGCATGAGAAAACTCAATGTCTCCTAAGATCTGATAAAACCATGGCGAAAACAATAGTTTGATACGGCATGAATGGCGTGTTTGGCAGAGGTAAACATCATGATCTATGTGCCAGATCCAATGAAACTGGAGATTCAAATGAACTCTATACCCTCCTTTTGTCAGCCTTGCATTACCAGTTAAATATTTGATGAGCTGACAGGTGATATCCTCCTACCCAACGGAATGTTCCGGCTCACAGAAAGTCTTGCAAACAGGTTTCAGGTGTGTGTGTGTTTACTATTAACCAGCTGAGTGTTTTGTGGATGAAGGAGATGATGAAATACTATAACAATATTGCACAATTACCTGAAGATGAGTCAGAAATCATATTATACTGTATATCATTGTTAAAGCTTCAGAACAAACCAACAAAGGCAACACAACATTGTTTCTAATGGGATAACGGCTATTACTGTGACACATGAGTACTGTCAAAGATAAGCATTATATTACATTTGATTTGAATAACGGTTTTAAGAAGTTACCCATTAACATATTCCTCAAATGATCGCCCAGAGATACGGGCATGTTTTAAAGGAAGTAGGGTTGCAATGGTGCCCACACAAACATTGTGGCATCATGCCTGAGGTGAGCAGTGATGGCTCGGATTAATGATTGACTTAACTGTACCGAATGTTTGTTGACATCCTTGGTCACATATGAAAGAGGTACAGTAAAGACACTGGCAAAGTTCCTCTCACACATTTATCCGAACTAATTTACTAAGCGTTAACTGTCTCTTTGCACAACCATCCTATTTTTCAAACTCTCGGGAAGCCAATAAGGACATTGCCCTTGCAAAAGAATGTAACAAAAACAACACAATGTCTTGTCTTCCTTATATGTCCCGAGAAAACCCTATAAAATGTTAAACGGTATATAAAGAGTTGTTTATCCATCAAGTTCGTAAAGTGTTTTTATATTTACAACAGAGTCATGGCAGCCATCTGCTGCAGTCATTTGGCCTGAGCCTGTTTCTCACTGGGAACAGAAGGTTCACTCTTAACACATGAGGAAGTGCAGTGTACCTTAGATAAAATGTTGCCCCTCAACTCCCCGAACACACACACACACACACACACACACACACACACACACACACACACACACACACACACACACACACACACACACACACACACACACACACACACACACACACACACACACACACACACACACACACACACACACACACACACACACACTTTGCGGTCCATGTATCTCTGTGTTAGGGGCTGGCTGGCCGCAGCAGCACCCCTCCTTGGCTCAGGGTGCACACAGGGGTACGGTTTCCTGAGCAACTTGAGCAATTATGGGAAGTGGTGGTGACCCGAATATTAACCCATGTGCACCCATATTGCATTCCTTTCCCCCCCCAGCTCATCGGTTAACTGCTACAAGCGCACCATAAAAATAATTGAGGAACTTTATGTCGGTTTATTTGGGTTCATGTAGGACAAAGTCGGTGACAATGGCTGTATTCATCTCAGCAAAGCCAAGGGGAGGCTAGTGGGTATGGGAATGTGTTCTGGTGTACTAAATCAAGTAAACCCTTTTTTCTAACCAAAGACTTGATGATATCTTCGCCGCATAGTAGCTTGCATCCAGCATCACATGGTAGGGTACGAAGCATCACATGATGCTGAGAAACATTGTGATGTGGTCAAGGGAGGTCATTTAATAGAGGCCCTGGAGGTAGACTGTTAATGTTTCTTTTCTCTCAATACTTTTCCAACTTCACAGAAGCTGGATGGAGGTTTGTTTTCTATGTATTTGTCGTGATAATAACATTTCTGGAAATTTAGAAATTACTGACAATATTGAGCCAAATAAATGTTCTTCCTGTCCACAGAAACTGCCTCTAGTCTTAGTATTGGCCACAGAGCAGGCTCTGGGCTTTCTCCTACGTTAATCTTACAAACATGCAGCAGGTGTTTCACATTAAACTGCCAGATTTACCACAAACAGCGTCGGAAGGAGTGTGACATGCTTATCAAATTTACAACCAGAGTAAGGAACCACAGTGGGTTGAGCAATCGCAGCCGGCACATTTTTACAGGGGACAAAAAAAACAGGGGTCCATCGCATGTTTTTTACTTGATTTTTTCTTCATATTATATATTACAAAACACAAGTCTACATTTTTGGAGCCAGATCTTGTCCCAAAGAGACAAATCAGGTGGTACATTATGGCTCTTCTGCATGTTAGTGGGAATTAAAAAAAAGAAAAACAACATTATAGATGTCAGTTTTAATAGTATTGTAACTTGCTTGCTTCAACAGGACAATTTCACGAGACAACATGAACTTACTGTGCACACCTATTAGCCCTGAAGGAATCCTAAAGTCATTACTGTAAGCCAACGTGATAAGGTTGGCTTGACAAAAGGTTTATTGTACACTATTGGATGGATATTGTAGATTGGAGTACAGGTCGAGTTGACAGGTTTTAAAAGGTTAATAAAGGTAATGAAATGCGTATCATGAATAGATCTTATCATCAAAATTAGAAAGGGAGCCAGAGTTTTTAGCTGTTCAGTTACGCTTCCGTGGAAATATCTCTTAGTTTGTGTCCGGAGGCTGACAGTCTCTCCGTATTAACAGAAGGCTCAAAGCTTACAGTTGGGGCCGGTTCAGGCTTGCTTTGATCCGGCCCCTACACTTCTTTAGGCTTTAACTGTCATGGGACTTTCACCTTTCATCTTTCAACTCTCCTCACCTACTTCTCTTTCTATTTATCTCTATGCACTAATGTCTCATGAAGGCATATTATTAACTCAGCATCCAGGGCATCATCTCTGGAGTTTTTTGTTTCCCACCTGGCGGGTCATCAGTTTTAAAGGTTACATCTGGATAATGAATGGGGGCTGCGCCTGTTGTCGTGGTCCTTCCTGGCGCCTTATTATTTATTATCATCCTTCTGGATCCATGTTTTTTTCTAAATATATGTTCATATTATAATTTGGATTTTCATTCGGAGTAGTTAATTTTGTAATTGTATTATCGTTGTTAATCTATAAACACTACACCTTTTGCACGTCTGTCCGTCCTGGGAGATTCCTCCAATGTTGTTATTTATAGACAAATATTTTAATGACCGACAGGTGCCAACGCGTTACAACGGCCCAAAACATTTCCATTTGAACACAATGCAGCTTCAGAAACGATGAAAATATAAAAATCACAAATGGGCAAAACACATGCAAATGAAGAAACGTCTTCAATAGCTAACCAAGTCATTTTTAAATCTTCTGACGAAATACGTACAATCATGAAACAAGCCTATACATGGGCCAACAGCTACAGTTCTGTCCATGTGAATTTGAGCGTTTCCATTTCTTGCTACGCTTCTTGCAGCATTTTGTATTTGTAATGTTTTCTAAATGCTGCACATGTGTTGTCAAGTAGGTGAAGATATTTCTTAATTGGCATGTGTCTTGGCACATTTTTGTTTTTATATTTGCATTGTTTCTGGAGATGCAGAGCATTTCTCCCTAACGGAAATGTTTTGGGCCGTGGCCCACATTTGCACCTGTGGGCCACCGTAAATATTCCAATCCTACCAAAAGGCTAGATGATAAACAGTCTTTATACAGTAGATACATATGTGTAACTGATTGACATTTAAATGTTGCAAGCTATATTTTAAAGAATTGTGTTGAATGTCTATATTGCCCCACTGGCCAACAATGAAACTACAAAGATAGGTCTAAGCCTTTCTCTCTATTAAACTTCCTTAAGTCTGACAAACAAACATTTAGTTCAATGGTGGGATTTCCTTCTTGTCTCTTATCAGTTAGATCCTAAAACAATGGACTCTGCCCACGCTTGTCTGCTCTCAGTGCTGCGGTCCTCCTCGCGGCTTTCCCCTCACGACCAGATGTCCCTTTCTGGGCTGTAGCCAGAGGATTTAGATTAGAGCAGGAAGAATAGTTAAATAAAATCAGATTGGGGGTCATCCGCTACTGTATTTTACACACAAATGTCAACCTACATCTCGCAGCTAAAAAGACAGGATCTGATATATTTGTTATGGACGCCTTAGACCAACAATGTTTAATTGGGAATTCAATATACACATTTTTATTTACATTGACACATGTATTAGCAACACACCAAATGTACATGGGATAACTTAAGCCTCAGGTTTAATAAATATGTCGATGAATGCAGGAAATTCTTGGCTGACAAATCCTGTAATATAGTTCTTTGATGATAAAAATATGAGCACTGGGATGACTTTAGTCTGATTTGCCATGGCAGCTACAAATTGAACTGATTAAAATTATGAATCAAACTAAATTAAAAGATTTGCCAAAATAAATCTCTCTTTTCAGTTGCCATGGTCACAGAGACGCAAGCAGCTTTTTTTCCAGGTGAACCAACAGTTGGAAATCTGTCCACACATAAGAAAATACAGCCTTCAAATTCAGCATTAATGTACCACATCTTCATTGTGATAAACATCTCCAACAGCATAAACATTATTTTACAATATACGTCTGTTTATATTTACAAAAAGACAGAGCAGTGTAACAGGGATAATTATAGCCTAAAGGAATAGATGAACATTTAGAAGTGGCACCTCCATATGGAAATTACTTAAATCCTGCAATACAGACATGTGCACAAACACAAGTAGACATTCATGCTCCACACACACACACACACACACACACACACACACACACACACACACACACACACACACACACACACACCACACACACACACACACACACACACACCACACACACACACACACACACACACACACACACACACCACACACACACACACACACACACACAGGACAATTTCCTTCAGCAGGGCTCTTCACAACAACATCCACTACTGGGAAGAGGGGAATCATAATGGTCTGGACTGATACAGACTACTGGCTGAGAGGTGCTGAAAGTCCCACTTCTAAAGGCGGATACAGCTGGATACAAAGGAGAGAAGGACTGCTGGGAAACCAGCTACTGGTCGCAGAACAATGAGATGACCAACACACGGAAGCAGAGCGCTGTACGCAGCCTTGACGTCTGAACAGAGAGCCCTGAAGACGCACTGGCTCATCTCAGGGAATATTGCAGTCCACTTACAGTAATGTTATTTAAAATGTGCATCACACTGACTCGATCCATGATATATACTGTACAATTGAGAGCTATAGCACTATCATGGGCAAAAACACACCAATTGCCTGTCAGCCAGAAGAAGAAAGTGTTCCTTTCCTGTTCCTTCATAAAAGGAGGAAGGAGGTAAAAAGCAGAGAAATCATGTATCAGAAATGGCAGTACCTGTCTCATGCTTGTAAACAAAGATCATACACTGGATGTGGCATGAGAGCAAACCATATAAACCTGAAATTATTTACAACTTTACAAGAGAACTCTCCAGCAGTCCAGCTGTCAAAAAGTGAAACTATACACCTGCATTACATGCCTCTGTCACAAAGCTAAGATGAACACTAGGAGTTACAGCTTCCTCAGAGTGTCTTCTTTGTCAAACGTTTAACTATCCATGTCATCATATAGCAATGACTAATATCATTACCTACAGATATGTACATATACAGTCAAAAGCACTTAAATGAAAAGCTAGCGTACCATGTCTATCTCATATCTCTGAACTGTGTTTACAGTGTTGGTGGGCCGACTCATGAAATGCTTTGACGGATCCAGTAGACAGTAAGTTGCTCTCTAGGTAGTGACAACCAACATAAAAACAGCAAAAATATATTTCCTGAATGACTTGAAGCACTTATGGACTCTAAGCAACTCTCTAAGCAAACCAACAATGCTGACTAATAGCTTATATACCAGTGTCTCGATATATCTATATTTAAATTGGCCCCCAAAGATTGTTTTCTTCATATCAACACAGATCTGAACCGTTATATAATACTGACAATAAAACAGGAAAAGAAAAAGAAAAAAAAAGTTTTTCCTCCAACAATTGCAACTGCCAACCAAAAATGGAAACGCTACATAAACATGTGTAACAGAAAAACAACAAAGAATAACAAAATGAAAAATGTACAAAGAAAAAAACTCCAATAGATAAACAGAAACAGTGTGAAGGACATTTTTTACAAAAAAAAAAACCCAAAAATACATAACAGTGTAATAATCTACTTTCATGACAGTTTTAGAGTAACCGCTGATATCTCTCCACCCTTCTCGGTGCCTTAACAGTTCTTTGTTATAGGCAGGGGAGCGTTAGTCTGACTGTCCTCTGTATTTAGCAACAGTAGTAATGACAATGATGAAAGCCATTTGTCCTTTGTTGTTTCTGGTAATGGATGGCGATTAACTATTCCTCTTCAACAGGTAACAACACATGCTGCTGGTACCAGGCCAGTGGGAGGGGGTAGTAGTAGTTGTAGGGTGATATGTGGCGGAACATTACAGGCACTTCATGAGGCAGCCAGAGAGGTGGAGTGGGTCCTTACACCCGTTGTGCTCTGAGGGTTGTCCCCTCGAGAAAGACCTCGTGCTGGACCAGTAACTGCTGAGTCGGAGCGCTGTTATTGTCAGCAGAGTTATGACTGTGAGGCGCAACGCTCTCAGAACTTTGTTCCTCCCTGGCTCTCGGCGTAACAGGAAGCCTGGAGCTAAAGTTCAAATAGATCTGAGGATTAGGAAGAAGGGGTAAAGAGAAAGAGGACAGAAGGATCATTATTTGATATTGTTTTTGTACTGCAATTTCAAACAGTAAACATTACTATTCATCTAATTTGAAGACATGGACTCTTTAGTAACTTTAGTGTTGTTTGTGTCATTTTCCCATAAGCTAAAAGCAATACTTCTGCCGAGAAACAACAAGCCGGCTTCAGCCCAAGGCAAATCAAAACAAAAGGTCTTGAGCCAGGGTGACAGCTCTTAGATGCTTCACTGACAGCTTTGCTTTGAGCTGAATGCTAACAACGGCTATATTAAAATGTATATGTTTAGCAGGTATAAGCAGGTATTTCTTTGCTCACCATTTTAGTTTAGCATGTTAGACATGATTGACACAGTGACTATTTTAAAAGACACAGATATTGTGGGGTTTGAACATGGCATCAAATCTTGTTTAATCTGTACGAAAATCTATTTGAAAAAAGAAACTAGCCATATAGTCTTTGGTAAAACCACAATGTTTATGTCTTCTTACATTTTTGTATGGATTAAAACAAGATACAAGGTGTTAATGAGAGACCTTTCACCACTTTTTAAAGCTTTTAACCAGCCAGTCATGCTCACATTTGAGTATGGTATCAATCTTTTGATCTTTATCTTAGTAAGAAAGCAGATTATATATCCCAAAATGTTTACATGACATTGACATAAGGAATTTTCAAAGCTATTGGAGCGTAAGAAGAGAGTCATGAGAACAATTGGACCCTGATATGTAGCATGATTAAATCAGACCAGCTGAGAGTTCATACATATCTGCTCATGCTGTGAGAGGCCCCTGACCTTCAGCTGACGTATGTGTGAAAACTCAGGAGTTTAAAAGCAGTTTTGAAAATCACAAATGATTAGCTTTAGCATTTAGCATAGAAGGCAATGTTTTGATTCAATGTGTGGAAGCTCAAAATGGTGTCAAAGGTAGGCCTATGACCAAATGAACCATTTCACAACAGATTTGACCATTAAAGGACTCTGGAGCCGGTCCTATTTCACAACCACATATTTCTGTTGACTGCCTGTGAGTCTTCACGGTTCATTATCTTTAAGAATGGAATTTATAACCGTAAAGGTAAAGTAAACAATATCAAAGAGAAGCAACCTACATGCTTTGTGGCATCCGTCAGCTGTTGTTCAATCCTTTCCACAACCTTCCTGAAGGGAGGTCTGTTGAATGGGTCAGCATCCCAGCAGGACCTCATAATATGATACCTGCACAGCAGCAGAAACACATAAACACTTTTACTTGCCTGCAGTTATTACATCGCCCCGTTCTTTTTTCGTATGTATATATTTTTCTGGTCTCAGTTCAACCTAAGAGTTTTTGTTATACTGTACTTGTGAACAGCCAAATGCAACAGGATGAGAGCAGACTGCTATGCAAATCCCACACATTGCATTTTTTTTATATTCTTACCACCTCTATCCACCATTTCACACCATCTCTCCTATGCTCTTTTTACACACACTTATTAACATTTTACAACAACTCACATTTCACTGGGTGCAAACTCTGGAGCATCCATCCTCTTTCCTTCTTTTATCAGTTTGTAGAACTTGGCATCCACAGGCATGCCAGGATACGGACTGTTTCCTACATTTAGCGGGGAAGATTCAGTTACATTGTGGAGCTCTGAAAAACACACAGACAGCCAGATAAACACACACACAATAGATAGATAGACTTACCTAGTGAGAAGATTTCCCAGAGCAAGATGCCGTAGGACCACACGTCACTCTCAAATGTATACACACACTCAAAGATACTTTCTGGAGACATCCATTTCACAGGTAGACGAGCCTGGGAAAGAAAGCATTGAGTAAGTAAATAGAAAGTTGAATTGACTCAAAATGTAAAACCTTCCAAATCCCTAGTGATGATTTCTTTCTTTTCTGCCTTCTTTAAATGTGGTTGGCGTCAAACATATTAGTGACTGCTTAATGAACAGACTGTACAAAATGCCAGGAATGCACACAGCGTTTCCCTGAGGATCTAAAAACTCATAGTTCACAGCCGCTCTGTGCCGCAGACACCTGATACGCACAGATACATTCAAAGACTTGGGAAACTTTAAAGTCATTAAGCCATCACAGGCGCACGCCAACAGATTTGCATCTCGTATAAATACTACTACTTTTCGTCTTTGTACCTGCGACCAAGGCTATCATAATGGGTATATCTGTTGCTAGGAAACATCTAAAGCTTTGTCTGATTCAAGGCAATCAACGAGATAATGAAGTCACTTTAGTATCAAAAACTGTAAATGTAGAACTCCTAAAGTCAGAGCAAAAAATATCGGATTATGCTAACGTAACTTCCTTCATTCAGTTCGTTGGCTTAACAGTTGCTTACAGTTTATTGTGCTTTGATGTAATGTGACAGTTTACATTGTTAAGTAAGTAAGTTATAAGTGTCATTTCATATGTGTCAACCATTTCCCTTATTAACTTCTTTAAGCTTCCGTGTACTTGCTGCGTTAGCAAGCTCACGTTAGCTTTGTCAGTTCAGGTAAGGTCAGTGCAATGGCACCTAGGTGTAGTCTTTAGTCTTTTCTTTATTGGGGAACTTGTTTGCTTGGTGAAACCTGTTTTAGTTTAGTATTGTGCAAATCTTCATTTGGGTAAATCTTCACACATTAAAACGTCACGAGAACGTCAAAGGCAGATGGATTCCTAGTTTGGGCTTGAATAAGTGTTGTAAAACATCATCAAGGATTTATTTTAATCTATTTTCTCTGAGCTTTGAGCAGACTTGTCTTAACAAACATACAGATACAATTAGCTTTCTAGTGATCTACAACAGCCCTAAGGAGGAAGTTTACATACACAGTACCTCTGACAAGTAAAGGCACAATAGACAAAGCAGGAACCCGCCCAATAAGCTAGTTAATTCCTTTACACATCTATTTAGACTGTTTCAAACCAGAACACTGAAACATAGGGTTTGATTTAGGATAATAATGGTATGTTGAAGGGGGGGTTCATGAGAGACACCATTGTATGTATCCTGAACTCTCTGTGTCTTTAGTACAAACTTACATTGCCTTTGACTACATAGTTGGAGTCCATGTTGATGTCTCGTGCCAGGCCAAAATCACAGATCTTTGCTACTCTTCCTTGAGTTAGGAGGATATTTCTTGCAGCCAGGTCTCTGTGGATACACTGAAAAATATGCAAAACCTCTTTAAAGATCAAATGGAACATGTCATATACATCACAATCAATAACACAACATTTGATTTGGATTAAGTGCTTTTTCTAATGTGGTTTGGTACTGATTTTCCACACTTGACTCTGTAACAGACAACCGCTGACACTGATACATGAGCTTACTGGTCACAGTATCTTGCCCTCGCAGCAAATACATCTTTTAACAGCATGCTCCAACATGCATTTAAGATCTGTTTACTGGCTGTGCAACATGATCCTTGCTCTGTAAGATATCACGTCAACAAATTCACATCACAGTTTAATCCAAAGGGTATGACAGTGGTAATTTGATGCTCACATTTTTGGAGGCTAAGAACTCCATGCCTTTAGCCACTTGGTGTGAGAAGCTGAGGAGGTCTTCTGTGTCCAGAGACAGACCATCCTCTTCAAACATCTCACTCTCTTCATCTGCTTCAACATAGGAGCCACCTGAGAGGACGAAACAGGACAGAGATTTTTTATTGGCCTGAATCCTACTGTATATTTTAGGATTGAGATATTTGATGAATGACTGGCTTGCTTGCCTTTGCGTATTGAGCGTCTCTTCTCAGAGGATGAGCTGAAAGGCGGGTTGCCAGCAGCAGAAGGCCTCATGGTCATGTAGCCGTTCAAGCTGTCACTGTGAAGAGGAAAGGAGCAGTCTGGTCTTAGCTGAGCACAGCCACACATAGGCACACTGCTGTCCAAATACCCTCCTCCTACGCACACTCTGGATAGTAAATACTAGTACTCTCTTTTCTCTTACACACACACTATAACCTTCTTTACACAAAAATAAAAACCTTACCCAGCTGTGTCTCTCTGCGGCATCACGTTGTGGTAGTGGCAGTCTTCTTCGAGCTTATAGCAGATGAATGATTCCCTCTTTCTGCGTAGAAAATTAAGAAGGTCTCCAAAGCAGCAGTACTCTGTGATCACCAGTGTAGGGCCTTCAAACAAAGAAACATACCTTAAGATGATGATCTTACCAGATACATAGATTTAGTAATTTGGCAAAACTATAGAGGTGGCACACTCATTAGATTATGTCCACAATCTCTGTTGTTTCACTCTAAAGTCTTAAATGAATATACAGGACAACATGGCTGCCGCACCTCCAACAGTGCAGGCTCCCAGCAAGTTGACAATATTCATGTGGTTTCCCAAGTAACTGAGGACTTTCAGCTCTGACATCAGCGCCTCTTTCTCTGTGGCGTGAGCGCTAGCTGTGGGGGGAAAAACATTTGAATATAATCAGTAACATTATCAAAAGGATTCAGAGTAAACTCAAGTTGAACTATGATTATGGATCATCATCTGGTATTTGGAGGATAAATACATTAGTTATTGGTTGAAGGAAATTAAAAAAGGTTCCTAAATATGATGATTTGTAGCAGTGTGCAAATCACCAAATACAAATATTCTTAAACTATGGTCTAAAACCAACAAGTAAGAAAAAATAACACATGTGAAACAACGCTTACATTTGAGCATTTTCACAGCCACCGTCATGACTGAATCTGCTTTGGAGATGCCATATGCTGTGGCTTCCACCACTTTTCCAAATGCACCAGATCCCAGTGTCTTCCCTGAAAAAAGATGACGGACATTAAACTGTTATTCCCAACCCTTTTCCCCTCCAACAAACTGGTTTTATGCCACTGTTCCTAGAACAGCACTAGTTTTAGCCCCCGGGCTGTGTACATAGGCACCAGGACATGCAGGATCCTGTTTAAGGATTGTTAAAAACACCACCCATAATATGTCAACAATATTATGTTTGCAGTGAAGGAGTGGGCTTTCATCATATGAGCTGTGAAACTGGTTAGTAACAAGAGTCAAGACACATGGCTAAAACCTTAACGTTGTGTAACTTTACACAGAAATATTACAATTTCTCAATCAGCATGAAGTTGCCTGCGGGTGACAGGGTTATCTCATTCTGACTGCACTGTAAGGCCTTGTTATTCAAACTATTACTGTCACAAACCCTCATCTATGACCACATCATCATTTATCTGCGCCTACAATGAAGACACTTGAATGTCAGAAATTGCATATTAATGGATTTGTGAAGGCCTAGACACAGCTCTTAACGCTGTTAACTAGAGATGTCCCGATCCGATCACGTGATCGGGGATCGGAGCCGATCACGTGATTTTAAAAAGATCGGAATCGGGAGAAAAAAATCGGGGATCGGGAATTTTTTTTTTTTTTTTTATAAAATATTTTTATTTTATTGAATGTTACAAAACAAAAATGACCATGTTCACGTCTTAAAGTCATCCTGAGGCCTTAGTTTTGGTTTAAAATTACACAACATCATGTATGTGTTGCTTCTTTTGGGCTTGTTTTCATAGACCTGGTTGCTTATTTCTCTCAAATCTGGCAACAGAGTGGGCAGGGCGCAGTGTCTAATAGTAGCAGTAAGCTAACGAGAGGCTACGTTCAGCTGGTGCCTCGGGAGTCGGGACAGAAAATGTCAGGAGTTTGGAAGTACTATAAAATTGAAAGCGAAGGCAGTGTAACAGCCAGATGCAAAGTTTGCAAGGCGGAGGATCCGCGTGGTGGAAAGAACAGAGCTACGTTCAACACGACCAATCTAATACGCCACCTGAGAAACAAACACCAACAACAACACGAGGAGTACACAGCGGCCACTCGGGTAAAGGCACTGAAACAACCGACACTTTCAGAGACTTTTAAAAGGAAAGAGAAACTGCCCCAGAACAGTGTTTTCACTGTTACACTGGCCAAAAAAATAACAGCCAAGATAGCTGAATTCATCACGTTGGATGACCAGCCGTTATCTGTTACCTTTTTTTTCTCTTAATGCATTGCATAAAGATCGGATCGGGAAAAATCGGTATCGGCAGATTGTCAAAATCAAATGATCGGAATCGGATCGGGAGCAAAAAAAGGTGATCGGGACATCCCTACTGTTAACGTTGATAAAGAAGGGCAGGGCTCTTACCAAAACGCAAGTTATTCCGAGGAAACTCCCACTGGTGATCGTACGGTAGCTGGGTGGGGTCAATGTACACATAGTTGTTTCCATGGATGCCCTCGATAACTTTCCACTGAATCTGGTATTTGGGTTTCTGGCAAGAATTCAAATACAATGATACACATTATTAATGAATGAAGTTTCAACATGCTGTTCTTTTGATTTGCCATTTCCCAAACGTGATAAAAGAGGGCGTGCCATATGGGAAAAGTGCAGAGCTGTCTTACCTGCATGTACTTGTAGAACAGTATGATAAGGACGAGACAAAGGATGCCAGCTGCCGATACCGAGCCAATTAACAGAGGGGTGAACAGATCATGGGTGACAGTTCTCTCTACAGGGAGAGAGAAATGATATAGTGAGATACAAAAGCAGTTGCAATAGAGTCTATTGGTGACTTGTTCAATGGTCTAATATGTTTACACTCTAAATGACATTGCAAAGGGGCATTAAGGTAAGCCATGAGAGGACTTAGTCACGGTGAAGCACACTTTGGTCAAATCACAGCAAACAAATCCAATTATTTATGTAATTATATATGTTCCCATTCTCTGTTGTATTCTTTGTTTGCAATGTATGCACATCATTCAGTTGAACTGCTTGACATCTGTTTTGATTATACAATACCTAACTGTATTTACTTTGCCTTTACAGCTGTGTCTCTGTGGGTAATTATATGTAATCAGTGTTCTGTCCCTTTGTGTCTGGCTGTTTTTGATGCCTTATTGTTTTTCTCCTCTGCACAGTGGGGTGTAATAAGCTCTTTAGAGATAAGCAGCTTTCTCTCCACTTCAAATCGGAAAATGCTGAGTCTGCAGGAACTAATCCCCTATAAACCTGTCAGTGGTTTCTATAGCTCTATGTATTCCCTGCTGCAGCTCATTGACACCTCCAAGCCTCCCACTGCCCCAGAACGCCAGCAGCCAGGACTCCTACTGAGCTCCACACTCTGAGCGCCTCCGCCTGGTCTGCTGTTACTCTGCGAAGCACAAAATTCCTCTGCACACGCTCCCAAAGGCTTGTCCAGCCTTGCCACAAACACTCTCCCTTATAATGCTCGCCCACATGCTCGCTGTAGCCACAGTTAGCCCCCCATGTCCTGCATAATCCCGCGTCTCCACGTTCAGGCCGGGACAACTGCTGTACTTTCAGTTATTGCACTTGAGAGTTCATTATAAAGCATATGGGAGGGCCGTTAAACAGAGCGGATTTGGAGTGATAAAGTAAACAAGAGACTAAAGCTAAATCCTATATTTAAGTTACACATCTTATCGTGGTCAAACCTGATTTTCTCCTTGCCTTTGTTTAATAAACAGATTATAAACCACCAACTTCTAGTTGTAAAACCACACCTATGGGTTAATCATCGCCAAAATCATGCTTGCAGTAAATATTTTGAATTAGGGATTAAGTTCCATGTGGGGTTTACAGAATTACTAAAATAACGTTGTTTCACAATGCACAAGGAGGAATGAGTCATAAGCTTAAAAAACTACTAACAGCAGTTAAAAAACTGTGAAAAAGAACATCAGGTGGATACAAATATGCAAGCTTAAAATTGTCATGTCTTTGTGTCCTATTATATAATGTTGACTTCAATGGGCTTGATTATAATCTAAAGTTGAGGAGATGGAGAAGATTACATCAAATCAGCAACAACACATGAGACTGACGACAGGCGCCCCGTTCAAGATCACGTGGCCTGCATTTAACTGACTGCATACTACTTTATTTACGCAGGTGTGTATATTTGTGATATCTACTCACCGCTGATGGAAAATAGTGTGTAGGCCTGCTCTCCCTCCACCGTCGCCACACATTCCAGAGTACTGAAACGTCCCCTGCTGACGTTCACCCGACTTTCCACCTCCGTCTTCCCAAACATGGGGCTGAACAGAGTCACAGTGATGACATTGTGCTCTTCCTGGGTGGCATTCACCTGTTGGGAGCACCTGAAGGCAGAAATGTGTGCATTGTTAAGAATTGGCTGTGGGGATCAGTGATTGTCTCACTCTGACATCTGATCTCTCGCCTTAGTCACAGAAGTAAAACATTCTGGATTTCCTCAGACTTAAAACAATTTTTGTGATATAAAACATAACAAAACATGCAAAACCATGGACACAAGTCAACCAGAAGTCATAAAAATGGTTAGGAATTCAACCTATGTTCATGAAATAGCGAAAAACAACCCGGGGCTTATCTTTCACAGCATCACACCATAAAAAAGCAGCTGTTATCAAAATGTTCTCTGAACACAGGCCCACTCTGGACACATCACTTTCACGTTTTGCACATACATGTTCGTGAGTGCATGCAATGAGTTTTAATTGGATTTGATTGTGATTACTGAATTACTGGATAAGTTTGGATAATCACTTGTGATTCACTGCCTGTGCTGCATAGGATTGGTGTTGCTATTGCGACCAGGTGCTCCTCCTTCGACACACGTTCTGTTTAACACAATACCAGGCGCGTCCAATTGGATCCAGGCAGACATCCAGGGCACCTACCAACAAGTTAATCTTTCTCCCGTGAAACCATCCCAGGTAAATGTTTTGAGAAAACACAGGGCTTATCTTATTTAAAGCTACTTATGAAGCCCCATTAAACATGGTTGCAAATAAGTATTTCTCTATAAAGTTAAATATTAACTACTCAATAAGCAGCAATTATAACTCATTAGGGCTGTGAGTATTTCTTATTGGTCAGATTTAACTGGAGTTGTAGAAGTAACCCCTGTTACTTTCATCGATACCTTTTGATTGGTGCAAAGACATTTTACACCCTAGATCCCAATTTAGCTCAACAACTGAAAACTAAAGAAAGGCACAGACAATACATTAACGCACCAAACTCTTATGTTAAACAACCATTAGTGTTTGGTCTTGTAGCAACCAATTACAAAAGCTGATTGATGAAAAAGGTATATAAGCTTTTATTAAAATCTCACCGGGCATATGGCTGCTCACAGTAGTACCAGGTGATCTGCGGGGCAGGAAACCCCTCTGCCACACAGCGTACCTGTCCGTCAACTGGGCCCTCATGAGATACAATCTCTGGTTTACCTAGGAAAAACAAGTGAGTCAGAGCGTGTCAGGTAAGGGATGGAGTTTTTTTTAATTTGCATTGAACCGTAGTGAGCTATAAATGATACAGTGTAAGGTTGAGAGCAAGACCTCATTTCCCACAAAGAAAAAGGTCAATAAGACCCTTTCCCACATGTCAGCTCCTGAGGTTAATACAATTCGTTATATGGCTTTAGGGAAGAACAAACCTTTAAAAAAATCATTAACACAACTTACTGATCACAAAGATGGTGAATGTGTGGTTTACTGAAGCGTCACCGTTGGAGGCTTGAAAGGTGTAAACTCCGCTCTCTGACATTTTCAGTCGCACAAGCCTCAGCTCACTGCTGTACCTGAACACAAATTACATTTTTAGCATGAATGCATTCATACATTTTTTATAAGAATAAGTGCTTTTACATTTATTTTACAAAACTGGTATTTCCCTTTTATGTTTGTCAATGCTGCCTGAGAAGATAAAGTATTTGCTTTTTGAAATGATATCAAGTATTTTCTTTTGCTCTTAAATGCAAATATGTTGATTGACAGTATACGTATGTAAATCATTTATAGAAAAATAACAAGTAGAACAACATGTAGTGGTATTTTCAAAGATCTTTTGGACTCCCTGAAAAAGGCTTCATCCTGTTAGGTCTAACATCATTTGCCATAACAACAAAGGTGTTTTTGGTTGTTTACAAAGGGAGTGCCTTGGAGTCTCGAGCAATTTACAAACTCATTTTAAGAAGCTTTTTTCAATAGTCGAGGTTACTTTTTTCCCACAGTTGATATGGATTTATTGATTTCCAATAGAGGATTAAAAGGTCATCTGATATTTTTCACAAAATAAAAAAAAGGTTGAAATGAGTGGAAAAGCATACAGCCTTCAAACATATTAAGCAGTATTTCTATAAGCAGAAACAATTATTGTTTTCTTTTCCTGTATATGCAATTTATATTTCTACACTCCCGTTTCACCAGTGTTTATGGAACGCTCTTAAAATTCCAGCTGCTCTTCTCAGCTGGCTGTTACAAGTGTAGCCGATGCATTAACACTGCCCTAACCGGCAGCCAAATCTAAGTGTTAAATTCCACTCTGCATGGGTAATGAACATTTCCATCTATGTGGCAAAAGTGGAGCACTTAAAGCGTGTGTGTTTGTCTCACCTGTACTCATGGACGTGAGTGGTGATGACATGGTCGGTTGTGTTCCTCAGCTGCTGGCCCATGAAGCTCCAGGAGAACCAGTGCAGCTTTGGATAAGCCTCCATCTCAACATTTAGGGGCAAATTCTCACCTGAACGTACATGGATGGTTTCATTGATTGCGGGTGTTAAATTGATGAATCCTTTTTCTGAAAAATAAGGAAATGAGACACTGTTATCAGGATTTGAAGAGGTCAAATGTTGTCTATATTTCTTTGAAGTGTCCAGACCTCACAGTTCAAAGTTCAAGTTAGCAAAAGGCGGCTTCAAATATCTTCACACACTCACCGTAAACATCGAGCCACACTGACTGTGAGCTGACCCCTTTCTCATTCTCAGCTTCACATCGGTACCGTCCGACGTCTTGAGGTCCGACCTCAGTGATGGTCAAGGTGGCGCTGCGCACGTGAGTGAAGTTCTCCTCCAGGATACGCGAAACACCGCCAACCTTTGGTGGTTGCTGTGGATACCAGACGGCACCCTGTCAACGCCCAGAGATCTCTAGAGATTAACCCCGTCTGCATATCTATCCTCGCCAAGCACAGCACTGACATGAACACACAACCGCCTGCATGCAAGTAAACACACGCACACTGTAGTCCACATGGTTCACACAAAGCCAAGATCTTTGACCCCTCTCACTCTCTTTCATCAGAACAACCACTGATACCAGTACATGTGAACCTCTCAGTTAAAACAAAGAAGTATTTTAATCTAATTGGAAAACAGAATTTTTTTTTTCTAGTTTGGAACATTTACATTTAACAATTTTCAGGTAAAAATCTATGCAGCTGACAGATGTTTATCATTAGGTGTCATAACATTTCATGACTGCAAGAAAAAAAGAGAAGACAAGTTTACAACAAATTCAGAAAACAACACGTGGTGAGTATAATTCCACAGGTCTGCTGATATTTAGTGGTTGACTGTTCCCAAACATTAAAGTGAATTATCTGGTTTTACTTATCATAGCCCATTTACATCTTAAAAGCAAACAATCAACAGTTAAGGATGAATTCACAAAAGGAATGTGCAGCTTTTGCTAACCCCAATTCTGCCGCAAAGCAAATAGTGTCTTGGTGATTCCATGTTATTTGCATCTACTAAAATTACAAACATTTGGCCCTTTTCAGTGCAGATGAGCCTCACTGCGAACACCTGTCAAATTCAAAGAGACTAACCCAAATAACCACACGCAGTTAAAGTGCGCTTAAATACCTTTTGTGAATCAGATCTCGACACGTTGAAGATTTGTTTTGCCATTTCTGGTTTTATCAGCAGCCACAAGACATTCTTTGTGAATTTGCCCAATAATCTCTATAACAACAGATCCCCAACAGCACCCAGCAAAGGAAAGGCAGAAGAGTCTCACCGAGCCAGGTGGGGTGACCCACTTTAGATGGATTTCTCCATTGACATTAGTAGTGTTGCAGGTGAGGGATAGACCTTCATCCCTGATGAGAATCACTCTTTTGGATGCCTGCATCTCAATCACAGGAGGAGCAATGGGGACTAAAAGGAAATCAAAGGAAATTTGACTGAATTATCAACCTGTGCTTTTGGAGCACCAACGCACATACATACATGCATTTAATCCACTTTACCTGGTCTCACGATCAAGTTGTATTGAAATGATCTGACGTTCTCTTCCTTGAGTCTTCCTGTGCACACATAACAACCTTCGTAGGACTTTCGTGTGTTGAAGATGGTGATGCCTTTCTCGAGGCTCGCAGAAAACTGGAGACCAGAGGCCAGAGCTCTACTTGAACATGTTTCCAGGCGCAGGTTGTCCAGACTTGGATCAGTTGCCAGGCAGGAGATGGAAGCAGTGTCTCCCTCTCTAGTAAGAATCTTGCCCACCATTGATTTTCTGAAGGGATTGTCAGGATCTGCCAAAAATGTAGGCGTCAGAGCTGTAAGCGGGGCTGCACACTGAATTGTTGAAGCTTTAGTTTTTGACAGCCATGATGTAATAATGCTACATAAAAATATACTTTTATCTTGTTGCCAAATCATATTCCATGTTGCCATTGAAATGTGGCACAAATTACAAACTACATTTTTTAATGAATTTGAAATTCGAATCCAATACCCATTTCACAAGATAACAGCTGGTGTAGCCAATTCTACAGTCCGAAATGATGCAATTATAAGAGTGTGAGTCAACCCCGGAACTTCAACAGATTTATTTAAGGAATGTTAACGTCTCTTTTCTTCCTGGTTTCATAGTGCTTCACTGATCCACAGGTGGCAGTAACTTCACAAGAAAAGCACTGATGCTCTAACAAAATAATGAAGAAGACTGCTAGCTAATAAACAAGGTCGTAAACAGTAAAGGTATTTGGCAACACCAACCATGGGTGTTGACAAATAGAACATAACTTATAACCTAGAATTACAATATCTAAACTATAATAGTTAATTCCCATTTCTAGAATTGACAGTCACCATGACATACTGGGCAAAAGCAATGATTCTGCTGTATGTCTATAAAGTGATATCTACCCTGTAGAGGCAAAGAGTAGTAAAAACATTCAATTGTCCAATTACATAAATTCAATTCAAATCTCTTTTAGTGATGCTACATGTGAGCCTCTCATCTAGTAAGTAGTGACTGCTTGTTTCTTCATCGGTTATGTGTGGTTTGTGGAGCCTGCAGTGATGGCAGTGGGCCAATGGGATATGAAGAGACATAGAGAAGAAAAATACAGTAAACTCAGTCATGCACTCAATAAATAGTTACAGTATCTACTGCACCTGTCCAGGGCAAAGATACTAACACCTTTGTCTGCGAGCACTCCCACACACACTGTTCCCTTCCTCCGCTTTACTCTGCAGTCTGTCTCATCCTACATTTTACTTTTCTTTCTTCTCTCTCACACTCAAACACCACATAATATCTAACACATGTAATCAACTAAATACCCTCAATTACTGAGAGTTACATCCATCTACCTTTCACATAGACGTAGATGGAGGTTTGCGCTTTGGACATTTCCTCTAGGCAGATGTAGCGGCCCATGTGAGCTGGCTGAGCCCTGGAGATGCGCACTGTGGACATCCCAGTAATCTTTATCTCTCCCCGCACCTTCGGCCGGTCCTCCCGTTGCCACTGCATCTCCTTCTCACCCTGGCAACGCAGCTCGAAGGGTGCGTTGAGCGGGACAACAAGGTGACTCCCAGCTGGGGTAATAGTTGGCTTGGTGTTGCCTATAAACCGATAGAGAGGGAAATCAATTGCATGTGAAACATGTCAAAATCATGAGGAGCCAATTTGGGTTCACAACATTAGGAAGCAAAACCTATGTGGAGTTTCTTTATAAGCCAAAGAGTTAATCTGCTGTGACAACTGAAAACAGGTGGGGGAAATGAATGATTATGGTATGTTCCATGAGAAAACCATCACCATGGTTGAGGTTCTTCTTCTATTGAAGCCACATGTGGAAAAACACTGCAGGACTGTGGATGCAGCTTCCAGTGGTGAAGCATTGTGTTAAACAAGGTGCTGCTGACAAAGAGGCTCCATCCATCCTCCCATCCCTACTTTGATACACTGAATAAATACATTTCAAATTAAAAGTCAATCGTCTTATTCCCACATTCTTCACTTCAATATCGATCTGCCATGAAACTTGAAAAGGGTGTGGTGACTTGACAGAAATGCTTTAAAACAGGAGAGCAAAGAGCTACAGCATTGTATTCAAATGTGTCAATTTAGAGAAGGTTAGTTCTGCTGGCTCTGTTTGCAGAGCATCTGCACCTATGCGTAAATATTTGTCAAACAACTGCTGAATTTAATTCAAAGGTTTGGTCACCAACAGTCCAGGGAGCTACAAGTGTCCATGTGAGGTATATTTAATAAATAAAATGGTATATGTTTTTATTGATTATGGTGAAAGTGAATTAGGTCTGACTGTCGCCTGAGTGAACAAGCTTAAGGCAAACGTAATAGCGTGCCCTGCATCACATGACCAGCAAGCCTGTGCACACTGCGTTAAGATGTGGCAGTCATTCAAAGTCCCTGATGATACGGACATGGCGTGAACATCAACGGAATCCCATGAGATCATAGTAGCCTACTTTCAAGCTGTCGTTCAGATGGAAATGAGGGTAGAGAAAGAGCCCACCTGATGCCGCCCTGAGCAGCAGGAGGTTGGCAGACCCAGCGAGAACAGAAACCATGTGGTTCACAGTTTATCTGCAAGGTTGGCTGGTTGAAAAACAACGTTCAAGAAATGTGCGAGCCGCGTCTGGAGAAATCTTCAACTATGTTTCTACTATAAGATAAAAGTTGACTTTGGACTGAGTTTCCTCGCATTTGAACATAAGGAATAGCACTTATGTTAACCATCATATCAAACAACGATTCAAGATTAAGTGTATGTAAGAAAAGGCAGTAAAATATAATTTGGTGTTTATGGACCTTGACATCTGGAGTAATGCTCTGAAGATGATGTAAGGCGATAATTATTGCAATGTCTTTTCAAAATTAAACCAAAATGCTCTAAAAGCTCTGTAAAAGTAACACGTGACAATATTCAAACAAAAGAAAAAGAAAAATGATATACGTATGCAAAGCAGTTCTACAAGTGCTAGTTTGCATGCTTCCAATGAGCCAGGAGTTGCCACTATATTTTCAATAAGACGGTTTTGTGCAGGGAGGAACACCGTATAACCTGTCGCGTTCATCCAGAACATTACGACCAAAAAGCCCATTTGCATCGAGCTCACATAGCCCCCCACAACCTCCACTGTTTGATTACTTTTCTGTTAAATGTGAGATGTTCTCTGACAAAAACATGAATTATTAAAGTAGCTCGTTTGCATCCACATCATCAACCCAAGTATCCACTTTCCTCATCAGGTTTTAGTGACTTTACTTGGTCTTATCAGCAGCCTTCACAACTCAATGCACCAGAACAAAGGCAATTGAGTAGAAATGCACCATACTGCTGACCAAGTGGAGCATTTAAATGCATGCAGATTACTACGCAAAATCGAGCTGATTACATTTAGGCATTCAGATATTGTCGAGCCTGTATTTTCCAAAAGTCAGCAGCAACAAGTTGTCTGCATAGATAGACCAAGTGAAAATGATGAGTCTTACCTGGATGGAAGAGTAACTGTAAAAACACAGACAGCAGTATCCAGTGGTATTCCATAGTTATTATTCCATGGGTCTAGCTGTGAAGATGAGCCAGTTCCTCTCTGGTTGTCTCTACTCTACTCGCCGAGCGCCTCGGAGTTGTGGGAAGTTGGCTGCGGGCTCTGATAGAGGCGCACTTATAAGTCTTTAAAGGCGCAGATGCTCAGTACAGCTCGCAAAAGCAGCAGTCGTCGCCTGTATGCAAACATGTTGTTCTCCTGGAGCGAGGCGGACCAGGTAGATCTGACTGACTGTGGCGTCAACAAAGCGTTTATAGGAGCCAGTGGTGGAGCCTATTACTCATGCCCAACACAGGGAGGGAGGCGTTAGGGACCTGCTATCTGCTTCCGAGAGAGAAACACCAAGCGCACGTACAGAGTGTCAGAGCAAGATATAGATTCAGTCATGGAGTCCAGTCTTTTTCATCTGTTATGATAACTCTTTCCACATGTCTTAATGAAAACATCACCCTAACTTTTATTTTATTGTAAGGACACAATTGCCATAATTCTCCATTAAATCTTATACTCATTTATTTCCATTTCACACAACCTCACACACGCACCAAACCCCCCAAAAACCCAAATGGAGACAAGAACATCACATAATGACCCTTTGTCTTTTGCCACCTCATGATACCACACATGACTGTTTGTGAAAGCTGGCACGCAGTCGCAGGCTTCTAGAGTTAGCTTAGTTTTACATGGGCTATAAAACAAGAAAACCATCTTGATTGTTGTCCGCTTAATGTTGACAGCAATGAGCAATTCCATCTTTATTGAAAACAAATGCAATGCCAATCAAACTGGCCATTAAAGTTAATTCCTTTGATTGCACATCATTTACCATATCCTCTTTCAAATTCTGGCCTTTTGTGAGTGTTTTTATAGTTCACGATTTGGATAGTCAAGAAAACCGAAAACATATTTGAATGGTCTGTTTATCCTATGAGATGTTATGCCTCCGAAATAATCATGCACATATGTTGCACAGTTCTGCTCCACACTACCTCTTTTTGTATCTGCGAAGCTCTATTTGAATAGTATTTGTCATATATGATTTTAGCAGTTTCTTGTATATTCATATTTTGTAAAAATATTGTCTTTGTTTTTTATTTATTGCAATAGTCTTTAAAGTGTTTTGTTTTTTTTAGTAGTCAAATGTATCGCCCCTTTAAAAAATAAAAAACGTTCTGTGTCTTTCTATGCACCATTTACACCATAGCAAGTTTCTCGTATGAGTAGAACTATACTTGGTAATAAACCAGATTCTGATTCTGACATACTGTATGTGCATTATATATTGTATATTATTACAACAACTCTACATTTTATTATTTGTATCTTCGTCTTAATTGGTTTAACTAGCTATGCATCAAGTTTTCCTCCAAATGGGAGCCCAATAATAAAAGTTTAAAAAAAAAACTTAAATAACTACTCCAGTGATTTAGTTTTGTACTAAAGATACATCTGAGAGGACTGCTGATACCATGTCATATATGGTATTTATTACATGAAAATAACAATATCAAAGCATCAGAGGCAGAAATGTACTGACTTCTTTTCACTAATTTGGGTCAAACCTCAACAACACTCAGTCCTTCATTTCCCATGAAGCACCTCAATAGAATGCATGTCAAATGAACTTGATATTTGATACTCAACGCCTCTGGTTTATTACCTTTTTATAACATTTTCTGACAAATATTTTAAGAGCATGACCTTAGCCAATGAAGACATTGCTGCACTTTTACCATAGCAGTACTCTGCAGGACATGTAAGCTGATCTTTATGTGTACAATTGTTGGAGATCGAGTTTCTTATCTCATTACATCTTATCACTTGTAATTCGGACTATACTACATTCTGCCTCTATTTATTCATGCATTTATTTTCTATAACTTGCATGATTTGATGTGGCTTTTTTCTGTTGGTAAACACCGGCTGAGACCCCTTAAACATCTAATGTTTTTAATGACATTAGATGCAAAGGACTTTGGCTATGGATGGAGCATTACCGCACCCTAAACTCAAACACCAGAAACCCAAACACTTTGTGAGAAATCTAATACTTGTCTAACAACTAACAACAAACAGTTAAGCGGTTGCTTCTTTTTACCTGAGGCTGAATGTTTTTATTATTCATTTTTAACAAACATAATGAAATTGAGGTGCATGCTGTGGTAACATGTAATCACTCTAAATTAGAAAAAGGTGGCTCAACTGACAAGTGGTGGATGCTTGATGTGACTATTAACTGTAAGGGGAACTTGTTATCTTTACCCCTCTCATAATAGCTAACCAGTTTCTACTCTGTAAATCCTCACTACCTGCTCATAAAGTGTGTGCATGTTGGTCATGAGTGCTCTAGGTGCCACAGAAGTGCTGCAGGCTGCTTTATTAATATATGTATTTAACACAAGACTCCTGCCATCCCACAGGGCTCCCCAGAGGACAAATTGAAATAACAAGCTCCTGTTTTCATTATGGGTGCAGAGCTGTCCTCTCACAGAAAAACATGCTTGTTGGAAAAAATGTCTCTTCACCATTACAGTTACAGTATTAACCATGAATTCAAGCCTTTTATCAACATTTTATATAATTTGAGAAATACATAAAAAGGAGCAACGATAAAATATTAAATTGTGTGCGCTTAGTGTAGATGGAAGAGAGTCAAGCCATGGGTTTGTCTTCAAGGGCCAGATTCATTCTGTCATTTAACATCTTCCACAATCATTTCTCATAACGTGAGTAACACAGACCACTCTTAAAGGCTCTAATGGCTTACACACTGAAACCAAATCTCTAATTTAACTTCCTCGAAGCATTAACTCCTGTAAAAGACCCATCAATTATCACACATTGATTTTTCCATTCACATAAATGTCTTGCAGGATAGCACAAAATGATTTTTGTCTGATCAACATACGAACACACGTGTTGTCTACTCCACCATTGAAAGAATTGTGTTTATCTGAACGTTTTTCGAATGAGAAAATGTAATCTATTAAAACGACTTTGTTTATTTTATTTTTCCTTCTAGAGAGCCCCCTCTCTACCGCAAAATCATGTTTGTAATGTGAGACTGTTTTGTATTTTCTGTACTTAGACAGAGGAAGCATCAGTCTCCTGTCTTAGCCTCCAAAACAAAGTTTGTACTGAGTCTCTGTCAAAAACATTTCCTCTGATGAGGCTGGGGGAAAAGGTCAGGGAGGCACAAGGATTATGGGAGAAACAGGATTGTTCTTATGCTAAATAATGTTTGTTTGAGTCCTTACCCGCCCACTTATGAGCAACAGACTCATGAACAGTTAAAGTAAGCTACTGCTCTGTTGCAGTCAGTCAATTGTTCAATTGTTCAACTGCTTCAACGATAGTATCATAAATGGCCTAAGGTGTGTGTAATGTCCTGAGTGCTTGGTGTGGTAAAACTTGATTTATCTCCTAGAAAAAACGTAAAGTTCAACTGACACCAGAGCAACTCTTTGTTCCTTGCCAATGAAATGTCACGTGAAAAGAACATGGATGTTGACAATGATATATTTATATAGATTTATGATAGAATATTTATTATTATTGAATGCAACCACTTTTAAAATACACGGGGTTATTCTTTAAAAGCATAATTTGTAATAAATACTACTAAAATAAACTGCAGCGATATTTTAAAAACAATCAATGTATGAATTTCTATAGGCAGAATATTTCCTTTCTTATTTAAACTAAATATCCTATTACAATTTTTTTTTTTAATATATTTTCTCTTTAGTAAGGTATGAATTTTGTCAAAAAAGATCAATCCTTTTGTAAAATGAGTGAAGTAAAAACCCTTGTTGCGAAAACAGAGGTAGTTTTCGGACCTTTATTATAGCTGTATAAATATGGATAACATGCAGAAAGATAGTTAATCCTTCAAAAATGAAAAAACAATAATAATATATTTACATTTACTCTTTGTCTTCATTCTACTTTATTCTGAATGTAAATATGTGGCCCACAGGACTATAAAAGCGATAACATTTAATAGGTGGGGTCATATGGAGAGGCCCCATATGAGCAACGGGAAACAAATTATGAGCATATCTCATTTCCAGTTTGGGTCAACGTAATGAGGGGTGGGCTGCAACGCTTTTTTAATAAGTCCCAGTTTTCTATATTCATATATCTTCTTGTGCTAAAGCACAACCCCCCTTGCTGCACTTCATAAAACTTTCACCATCAGGGTTGATGTATTACATTTTGTTCTAGCAGCTGTTTCCATCACAGCCAGCAACAAGAAACCAACTTTTTTTCACCTGAGGTTCTGCAATCCTCTTGTGGTCACTGTGTTTCAGTTCTCAATAAAGGTTTTTTCAATTCGTGACCGGCCAGTAATGCTGCTTGTATTGCAGTCACTATCCTACGGTCGTGCTGAATAAATGTTTACATTTCACAATCAATTTCTGTATTAGATGATTTTTCCTCCCCAGCTGACCACACACACACTTTTCTTCTGGCCCCAGCTTTGACTCATTTTAGACATCATTTTTTGGATTCCCTCTCTAAATTTCTTGGTATTTTCCTCAATCCCTTTCCCTTTAATTGTCATCTAAAGTACTTTTCCTGTTGAAGGCTGGTTTAGCAAATACCTGGCTGACCTTGTTGCTTTTAAAACCTTCACCGCCAAATGTCATATATTATTACATTGGAAGAGTCCCAACCCCTCTGGAACAACTTCTTGGTTAAAAGATTTAATGTATTTTCTCTCCTGAGAAAATATCAGGCACACAGTCAAAGGATCTGTGTAGAAAGATTTAACAGAACTTTGGACTCTTTTCTCAACTTTAATTAACAACCTATTATTCTTTTTATAATGATTACTGTTATTATATGTATTTTTCTGTGGGAGGTTTATTCTAGGTTGATTTTGGGTTGGCTTTGTTATTTTTATTTCTTTTTGTTTTACTTATCAGATTTCGTATTCACATTTAATTTCCCTACAGTCTGTAACATGCTTTGAAGTTCATTTGATAACCATGTTGCTTGCATCTACAGTATACTTTACTTTCCTTGTCATTGTAGTTGTCATAGAGGCTCTTAATGATTAAGTACTTTAAACCTTTAAAAAAAAGTTAAACACGCAACCCTATCCCCTAAAGCTTTGTGAACCTGCAGGTAGGTGCCATAAAGTTGCACTACACATCATAATGCCCTGTTTTATGAAGGCCAGGACAATGCTTTTCGAAGAGGAAATGAGTCCTCACTATCTCTGATATACATCAACATTCAGCAGTATTCGTG